ATATGTTTGTGTAGACATAATTACTAGAGTCGATGATATATGTGTTTGATTTCCTTAAGAAATTGTCGGATATTACATGGATTAATGTCATGTTGGTTGATTTTATTTAGCGGCATATCAAACTCTGTGGGTTATTCCATGCCGAAATCTAAATATCTTGAACACAATTTTATGTCTTCAACTAAATATATTTTGAAAGCAGTTGTATGTCTTCAACAACAAATAAAATGTATAGTTGGTCATTTTGCTATAAAATGTTTTGGCGGTAATTTTACTATAAATATGTATTGCTGGTAAATTCTTTATAAAAAAATGCATTGCTGGTATTTTTACCACAAAAATCCACTTTCACAGTTTTTTGTTTTTGCATGGGGTTTCACAATTTGCCCACAGCTGGGATCCTAACAGGTGCAACCACCTTTATTTACCTTCGTAAATTTATTTACCATTTAAAATGCGTTCTTTGTTTTTGAGGAAGTCCCTGGCGATAACTAGTTTTTACTATTACATCGAGTTTAGTATGACTTCCCTAAAATGTACATATTGGTAGGTCTGCAAACTCTCTAGTTCCTCTTGGAACGCTTTCTAGAACTAAAGATTGGTCCTGATTCTACGGTTCAAACTGTTGAAGGTAGATTCTTGAAACAAAGTATTAAAATTTTTCTTCCTTGAATGATCAAAAACATTGCCTCTGGTTTGGCTTATATGGTGGTGCCGAGTTTTACTATTACGACAGCGCCGTCGCTGTCGTAATAGTAAAAAGGGAATTCATAAAAAACAAAAACGTATTTTAAATGATAAAATAAATAAATTTACGAAGGTATATAACGTTTTTGCATATTTTTAAAGCATTGGCTTTATTGGTCACTCATCGAACCTCTATTATAAACGAAAAATAAAAAAAAAAACATTTAAAAATCTTTCAAAATCCAATATTTGTCCTGGAAATACGTTTCAAAGTAAATTTAAAGATTAATTAACTGGGTTAACTTAACAGGATTTTGTAAAATAAAGCTTACTTCTTGCTTAAAACATTTCGAAAATAACATTTATTTATGCACGGTAGGCCATGAGCTGTCGTTGATTTCATAGGTCAACAATGGAAGAATTCTACTGTCATCTCCAAAGCACGAGTAAAATTAAAAAAAGAAAAAAAAAAGAAAGAAAAACTACGGATGATCAAAAGTACTACAATCTAGAAAATTTATTTTTAGGTATAATAAATACCAATATATTCAATCTTATATGAATAAGAGTTTAGAAATATGTTATTCTATTGGCTTTTATAAAACTTAGGAGAATTTATTAAATTATGCAAGCTCCACCATCACTCAAAAGAAATTCTTTTTTAGTTTTATTACTTTTATTGAAATATTTTTGATGATGTTCGGGACGACAATTTTCAGTTTTAGTGATCTTTGGAACGAATTTTCAGTATGTTCTCACTTGATATTGCATAGTTTTTTTGGATTGAAATAACATCTAGGATTTTTCTTTATATAACTGTAAGAAGTTTTTGCGAACAACCACAATCCAAATTAAAAAGTACACACGAAATATCGCAAAGGAAGACTGAAACTGACCACCCCCAAATTATTTTCACAAAGTTTTCTAATAAAATAACATACCCAGTATACAATTCATTCATTAATGAATAAGTAGTGAAAATTTCGTTTACATCAGGAAATTCTCTGATTTTTGGTAAAATTTTAAAAAGTGGGTTCGTTTTTTTTTTTTTTTGCTTTTAATTTTGGGAAAAACACATCCATTTTGTTTTGGCGGTACCTAGTTAAAAAACACATACGTATTAATTAATACAATGATTATTAATGGAGCTAAAATATTTCTTTTTAATAATTAATTTTGCTCTTGTGAGTTTGGTATAAAAACGATCAGATTGTAGTTTTAGGAAAACTTTTCTAAAAATTAATCTTTTAATTATAAAAACTGCTCATCGCGCAATGAAAATTGTACAAAAAATTTAAAAGAAAATATTTTCGTAATTCCATAATGTAAAAACGTTTCAGCGAGAATAAAAGACTGATGTAAAGAATTTGAATTATATTCTTTAGTTTAAATACAAATTTGAAGCATTGGCTAATTTAGTCATGTCCCGCAACGAAGTAGAATAAAATCGCGATATTATAAACAAAGGGAGGCTACTCTTAAAATTAACTTTCTTTAATCGGAGATGAGTTGCTTCCCCGACAGAAATTTCCCCATAATCACCATACAATCTGAACGTAAATACTTTTTTCATTTAATTACTGACATAAAGCAACGCAATCTCTGGTTATTATTTGGATGGGTTAAATTTTTTGGGAGATAATAATGGTTTAGTGATACAATTCTTACTAATTAACCCATAGCTGTAGGTGAGAAGTGGTGGAATCATACCTTTCACATGCATATTTGCATGTAAGTGACTATAATGCACCCGAAGAGAATTGGAACTCAGCTCTCCAATTGACAATTTCGAGCTGTTATCTATTATTCCGTCCGCACATCCAAACTTACAACACCTGTTATTTCCAAGTGGCCACCTATCTAGGTACTGACCAATCTTGATGTTGTATAACTTTGGTGATTGTATGGGAAGCAGGTTTTTCAATGTGATGAAGATGTAAGCCATTATGTAGATTGTGTGGAGAGATCAGTTCCAAGAACTTATAAAAAGCAGTTGATGTTATTTGCATGATAGGGGGAAATGTATGTCATCACCGATTAAAAAAATATTACAAAAATACAACTGGTACTAGAAGACTTAGCAAGTAGTGTGACTGAAACGTTGTGATAAGAACCTCACGAAGAAAAACAAAAATGAAGAAATTAACCTGAATATGCAAAAGTAAATCCTGTAATCAAAAAATTGAAAATTATAGATATTTGTTATCCCCACCTTAATCAGAAGGAGATATGGGCCCAAAATCCCAAGTGGAAGACTGAAATACATACTATCAAACCCTATATGAAGTTTGTTTTGTTGGGGACGAATACATTCTTTTGATAGTTTAATTTATAAATTAGGTACAAGAAAAGATTAACAATAGCAACTATTAGGTTGGTGCAAAAATAATGACGTAAGAATGTCGTTTTTTGACGTTAAAAAATACGTCAAAAAACGACATTATTACGTCATTATTTTTGCACCAACCTAATAATAACAAAATTGAATTATGATATTCACACTTACTTCAGATATTAGCAACATTAGCAATTGTGACCCCAAGACTGGGACATTCACAGAGGGAGATACTGTATGATTTTATCTCGACCTTGTGCAGGATAATGTTTAATGCTGACATGAAGTGAAAAGATTATATTGAATCAATAGTTAGGTCTGCTGTTAAGAAGGTTGGTTCACTGTGTTGTGCTTGATAATTTTTCTCATCAGATTACAAATTTATGAGTTCACTATTCATTCATGTGTTGAATATTGCTGTCACATCTAATCTGATGATTCTGCTACATATTCTGCTAAAATAATTCTTGATAAAATACAAAGAATCTACCACATTATATGTCCTGACCTGGCATCTCGTCTTTAGTCACTTTTCTACTGTCGTAATGTAGCTTCCCTGTGACTTTTCTATATTTTCATGGTAATAGTTTTGGTAAGCTTTCTTCTTTTGTACCTCGACTTTACAAATTTAACTGCAGTACTAGATTGGCAGTTAGGTTTCATCATTTTATCGTGGAAATGGCTACATGTAAGTTTTATGCTAACAGTTTCTTCTTTCACACTTCTTTCTTGCGGAACTCTCATCCAAATTTCTGTTTTCCAGTCAAATTTGATCTTCAAAAATTAAAATGCAAAATCAATTGTTATCTTAATTTTTGTCCTTTTGTTGTTCACTCTCCTTAATAATGCTTTTTTTTCTCATATTTTCTCACTCATTAAACCTCCTTGCTTCTTAGTGGATTTATTGCTTTGCTAAGGTGAAATGATTAAAAAAAAAAAAACAAAAAAAAAAAAATCTTAGTTTTATGGCTGGCAGATAAAATCTTTAAATTCAAATGGGATATAATGGTTAGCAATCTTGTCTTGCTCAATTGATCATTACTGAGTAGTGAGTTTGATCCTCACTGGGTACTTTGCTCTTTCTGTCTTATGCCACAACTAAGCCACTCTTACTAAATAACCTTGTAAGCACCACTGACTTCTCCAAAGGGAAACAAATGATAATTGTAATATTAGCCATTTCCTTATAAGGAAACATTCATTGATTGAGCAGCCAGTGCTACTTTTGGTTTAAATTTATAAAATCTTTTCACTGAAATAATTTTTCAAGAAAAATAGGTTTCCTAAGTTCAGTAACTGCAATAGCTCTTTCCAGTATTGATGGGGATCTCCTTCCTAACCTTTCGTTCCAGTGTGAAACAAACATCTTACCTTGAAAGAATAAATAAACCAATGAAAGCTTCTGAGGTTAAGCAACATCAAATTGGACAAATGTTACTTTTTTTTTTTTCTGAACTTTACGAATTTAAGCGCAGTACTAGACTGGCAACTAAGTCTCATCGTTTTATATATGAAGTGGTTAGATGTAACTGTAAGTTCTATGTTAACAGTATCATCTTGAACTTCTGACTGATGGAACTTCTCTTCCAGTCTCTTGCTTTCCAGTCAACTTTGATGTATATGCAATATCAGTCATTATCTGATATCTTTTTAATTCTTGTACTTTTATTGTTCTCTCTTAATGTTTTTTTTTTGTCTCATATTCTTTCACTCAATAACCCCTTGCATTTTAGTGGCATTATTGCTTTGCTTGGGGTGAAATGATTAAAAAAAAATCTTTTATGCTCAAAATCATACTAAAGTGAATTCTCACTTTTCTTTATCACATTAAATTATGCAAAAGTAAATTAAATAAACCCAATGTCTTTTAAAATCTGTCTTAATACAATTCATTTATTTTTGTCCACAAAAAACGTTTTTTTTTTTACAACTGCTTCGGAGGAACAATATCAAGCAAGTGCAACCCATTCTGCATTACTTGGTAGACAGCAGACATGAGATGTAGACGTGCAAACATCACAGGCAACAGATGTGGACGAGGCTCCTGCCAAGTGAAAATACTATAATTAATATCAAGAGGCAGACAGATAAACCAAAAAATATAATATGACATAATATTAATTCACTGTTCATTTACATTCTAAATGGGGAAAAAAACTTGTACATTTCTTATAAAGAATTCTTAGAAATTTCTGGTGCTTGCTTAGCTTAGTGCAGTACAATGGGAAATGGATATAGGAAAATATTCAAATTAAAAAGGGCTTCTTCTTGGTGATGGGTTCCTTCAGGACAAGGGTGATCATGGCTTTCCAAAACTTCCTATCCCTTGTAGACCATAGAAGTTTTTTCCCCCACCTTTTCTAAACCTCGTGCAATCCATTCACACAAGATAGGTGGCTGGCTGCCTTCTGCTTTATCACTCAATATACCCTGTGAGTGTTGAGCTTTTCAAGCCCTCTTTCCTCATCATGTGCCCAAGAAATTTCAGCTGTCTCTTTCGGATTCTATGTATAAGTGTTCTTTTAGTTGCCATTTTCTTCAAGACTTCTTCATTGCTTATTCATTCCATACATGGAATTTCTCGGTGCCTTTCTGTCAAACCACATTTCTGCTTCCTCCTGTTTTCTCCCCACCTGTGGGGAGATTGTCCAGAATTTACTGCCAGACAAGAGGATGGATATTACACAGCAATCCAGCACTCTTTTCATTGTTTCTAATGAAATTTTTCTGTTTCTCATTACCTTACTTAGCTTTTGGAATGCATCTTTCGTTAGTCTAATGGTTTGAATTTCGGTTGTCACATTTTCCATCCTCTGTCAAAACACATGCCAGAATTTCTGTATTTGCTTGATGTTGACATTTTCAATTGGTTTACCTGCCTTAAAAATCAATATTTGAAATTCTGGCTTTTTGTTTGGGCCCTATCACTGACTGCTAGCCCTAAGAGATGCAACTATATTTAGTCAAACTATATTTAGCCAAATTGCAACGCATCTCTTAATACTTGTCATTAGCTAAAATTATTTAAATTACTTTATTACTGTTGTAGCATACCTGCGGACGATAACAGGCATGTCCCTATTTACATAAATACAGTAGTAAATACTGTATGTTGGTCTGCAGTTGGAGATTCGTCTCCAGCTGTACTGGTCAAACTCTCTGCCTCCAGGCAGAGAGGATCTTCCGATGAAGCTATGTCAAAAGGCAGAGTCTTGTCTTGGGAAACAGCTAACCGACCCCATTTTATACGGGGTCTACGATGAGTTTTTAGCCAAGCTTATGGGCTTGGATACCAGACATTAAATTCAGCCTTGTGCTACATCTGACTGCATGGGGTGGTTGGTAGATATCCTGCAGTTGGAGATTCATTGTGGAATTGACTTGATTCACTACTAGCAGTTGACTACTTCTACGCACCACTGGCGAATCTTATATGTGTTGTTCTTGTATTATCATTCATTACCAACCTTTGTGTGATTATTCTATTCAGTAACCTTCCCTATGTTACAACAGTTACTTCACTTAACTCTTTGAAGCATTGTAGGTTAAATTTCATCCTACTTTTGAAGAGTTGGTATCTGTGCGTTTAGTCATTTTTTTAATACCCCCTTTTTATCTTTATATATCTGGGTGTACAGAGACAGTCTAACCATTTTTAGTACCCAGGTTGATCAACAGAAGGCAAAGTTGTTCCAAAGAAGTGAGACTAAAAATGCTAAAATTTGTATGCATTTAAAATGATTGAACATTCTGAAAATTATAAAGTTTTATGCACTGGTAAGCACATCATTTAGAGATTTTGAAAGTGGGTTCATTTTTCTTACTGTTAAGATGTGGACTCGGCTGTAATAGGAACTGAAGCAATGGCTGAGGGAAACCAGAAAGTTGACAACCTGCAAAAGAAAATGAGAAAAATAATTACAAAAAAGTTTATAAATAAAAAAAAGCACACAGTGACTGCTGGTAGTAATAAAAAAGTGCTTGGTGTATGTTATATTGCCAAGGTGAATGATACACAGAGAAGAATGAGTGCTTAATATATTTATTCAGCATCAGTATCTAATACTAACAGATACATACAAAAAACACAGAACAATAACAAGACAACTTACAAAGAATAACTGAGGGTCAAATGCTGTATAGTCAAACTAAGTAAGATCAGTCCAAATATTAATCAGCTTAGTATCAACTTATTAATCAACTGTTGAAGTCTTTAATCATAGATTATTTAAGGCTATGAGTTAAGCCATCTGGTAGAGTGCTGAAGGGGTGCTAGCTACTCTACAACAATGTAAATAACAGCTAAAATTTATACTAATAATAAATATACATTATATATCTATATAATAATAAAACACTAATATTGTACGTATGTATGTGAGTGTGTGTTCCCAAGAGACAGCTTAAACAATACCTCAACCAATTTAGGAGTATATTGTATCTTGAACCCTCTGCTGAGTGCAGTGCTAGATTTCATTAAAATTAGACAAGGGCTTCTTCAGCTAGAGCCATTTTTCTGTTTTTATGGCATTTTTTAATAGGAAATTCAGTATTTGTTTTCGATACACATTCTTATATCAATCCACATATATAAACAAACACTTGCATATTAGATGTGCAAAATAATAAATAGGCATAATACATTATGACAATATTATTAAATAAATTTAAATATGCATAACACAATACATATTTATGCAATTCATTACACTACATTGGAGCTCTTTTTTTATAAACAAATATGTTACTGTAAAACTTTATTATGACTTGATAAATATATAGAGGCACACTGGTTTGCTATTGTTATGTATTTTGAAATAAATGTAAGGAAGAAGATAGTATGTATAATAAAAAATGTAATTATTATTAATTTTTTACTGCATTTGATCTAAGTAATATTGTATAATGGGAGTAATAATAATTATTAAATTATTGTGTATTACAAATACAAATTAAAATATATATAATTAATAATAAAATTGATATTGTTACATCATTGTATTATGTAGTTTTTTTAAAAGGAACTCAACAGGTTTATAGGTGGACTTGTATATAATGTATATATGTGTATATTCTACTTAAGAATAATAAAAATTTTATATCTATCTATATTTCTTAGATGAGGTATTTACACTATTTACAATTTTCAGACAGTTGTCCTCATCTTTGTTGTCATATTCACGATGTTTCAGCTGTGGTACACTCTGGCCTTCTTCAGGTGTTTGGAATTTCAAACCAAGCCCTTTAATTCGTCCACCAGGGTAGATTGTTCTAGTTCCATGTGTCATACCTATTCTGAATATCTCAGCTTCAGTTTCAGTTATTTCCCTTAGTAACTCAACTCTCCAAGGACACATGGCCCAGTGGATAAAAGTGTTGGTTGAAGTAATTCAGTGACTTGATTTCAATACCTGGCCACAGCAGAGGTGAACAAAAACTTGGGGAGTTGAATTACTAAGGGAAATAACTGAAACTGAGATATCCGGAAGAGGCATGGCACGTGGAACTAGAACAATCTACCCTGGTAGACGATATAAAGGGTTTAGTTCGAAATTCCAATCAACTGAAGAAAGTGGAAGCATACAACAGCCGAATCGTTGTGAATATGAGAACAAAGATGAGGATAACAGTCTGAACAAGGTAAATAGTGTAAATAAAAATTTTTTAGATATTTTATATTAATCAAATCAGTTTAGTAACAGAGAAAATGCTAAAACTTGAGTCATTGTATATTTTCAACCATCTTCAGGATTCAAATTTCTTAGCTGTAGCATTTTGATTAATTTTTGAAAAGTTTAGTTTCAGCTAAAACTTGAAATTAATAACGATAAAAATATTTTCAATTGTGTCAAGGTTCTTTACCTTGTGCGTGTGTATTTCCGATCGTATCCAGTCAGAAGAGAGAGACACAGTGCTTTGTAAAAGAGAGGGATAAGGCTCAATGTAATTGTATAAAAGCATCCATTCCTCCTGTAAAAAGAAGCAAAAAGAAAATAAAAATCTGAAACATGAGGAAATCAAAATAACAAACACATTGAGATCAAAAGTCCCAATACAGATTAAAAAAAAGAAAATTGAATTTGAGAGATTCTTTAGTGCTAGCTGTTTATGTATTACATATCTTGGGTAGGATTTATTAAACAATAACTCAAATTACTCATTCCCACTAATAATTTCATATACAGAAATATTATAAGCAAATATAGAAATACATTGGAAGTTATTTTACTATAGAAAAAGCATTATATTTTATTATTTTAAGAGGTTGAAGGTAAAATTTATTAAACTTATTATTTTAATTCAAACAATAACATTTACATATATGATGACAAAGCAAATACTAAAAGCCTATATTGAAATGCATTGAAAATTATTTTATTATAGGAATGCATTATAAATATTTATTAAATATGTCAAAACTTTCATTCACTCTAGTGGTTCCATATATAGTGTTAGAACAAATGCTATAAGCATATATAGAAATACATTGGAAATTATTTTACTATAGAAAAACGTGTTTTATTATATTAAAAGGCTGAAGGTAAGCTTGAAAGTTATTTTAATTCACAATTACATATATAGAGAGACAACAATTGCTAAAAGCATACATGGAAATTCATTGTAAATTCTTTGACTACAGTACTACAGGTATGTATTTTATATATATATATATATATATATATATATATATATATATATATATATGTATGTATATATATGTATGTATGTATGTGTGTATATGTATGTGTGTATGTGTATGTGTGTGGATGTATGGGTATGTGTGTATATATATATGTGTGTATATGATATATGTAATAGGTATATATATATGTATGTGTGTATGTATGTATATGTATAAGTATGTATGTATGTATGAATGTATACATGGGGCAATAATGCGTGTATATGTATGTGAAAAGGTGTATATGAATATAGATGAATATGTGTATGTGTGGATATGTGAATATTTTAGGTTTTTATATATATATATATATATATATATATATATTTGTGTATATATGTATATATATATATATATATATATATATATATATATATATATATATATATTTGTATATATATATATATATATATATATATATATGTGTGTATGTATGTATGTATGTGCATGTGTATGTACACGTATGTCTGTGTGTGTGTGTGTACATGCCTAAGTGTATGTACCTACTTGTATATGTTTTTTTGTGTATTTGTATGTGTTTTTGAACATAGAAATAGAAATGAGACAATCGTTATATTCATCTTCATATATTTATATTTGATTTAATTTTCCCAATTACAAAGCGGCCCTTTAAGTAAAACACAATTTTATTTTCCTTCGTCCCATCCCCTCTCCCCCACCCCTTTCCTTTTTTTTTTCCCCTTCCTATCTGAATTGTCTGTGGTGTGTATATGTCACCAGAAATGTATATTTATGTATTAGACATCCGTCGACTTTCTTTTCTCCTCTTTTTAAATCCACCCCACCCACATCTCCAAAAATTCTCTCTGTTATGGTTTCATGTCACTCATCCTCATACTTACACTTTCTCTAAATTCTGTTTTTTGATTTCGGAGTTGTTTTTTTCTGTTTTCATTTTGAATTTGTAGGTCTGATGATTTGGATCAAAGACGATTCCAATGGAATAAATTATGACCATGGAATATTAGTGTTTAAGCCTTTTTATTATATATATATATATATATATTTCATTTTAATCATTTTACACCAAGCAAGGTGATAAAGCTATTAAGGTGCAAAGCCTTACTGAGAATGAAAGACAAAGAAAGTGAAGGAAATGTTAATGAAGAGAAAGGAGAAAAAAAAGAACAGGGATGAAAGAGACAGATGATGATGATTGATGTTGTATTTACATTTTTGAAGATCACAGTCAACAAGAAAGCAAGAAGCTGGAAGAGAGTTCCAAATGTGAGAAGTGTGAGAGAAGAAACTGTTAGTCTACCTTTCAAAAGCCATATTTACCTCTAACTTGAGAGTGCTCATATCACACTTAGAAACACTTGGAAGCTTTGGGTATACACCTAACAAAGAAAGAAAGAAAGAACATTAATTTACAAAATGGTTAATATTATTATTGTTTTTAATCTTTAAAACAGGGGAGTGCAAAAGTAGCTTCTGGAAATTTAAAAAAAAAAAAAAAGAAGTCTTTTTCTGATTCTAAAAGCCCTCTTTCCTCATTATATATCCTAGAAATTTCGACCGCCTCTTTCCGGTTCTAAAAGCCCTCTTTCCTCATTATATATCCTAGAAATTTCGACTGCCTCTTTCCGGTTCTAAAAGCCCTCTTTCCTCATTATATATCCTAGAAATTTCGACTGCCTCTTTCCGGTTCTAAAAGCCCTCTTTCCTCATTATATATCCTAGAAATTTCAACCGTCTCTTTCCGATTCTAAAAGCCCTCTTTCCTCGTTATATATCCTAGAAATTTCAACCGTCTCTTTCCGATTCTAAAAGCCCTCTTTCCTCATTATATATCCTAGAAATTTCAACCGTCTCTTTCAGATTCTAAAAGCCCTCTTTCCTCATTATATATCCTAGAAATTTCAACCGTCTCTTTCCGATTCTATAAGCCCTCTTTCCTCATTATATATCCTAGAAATTTCAACTGTCTCTTTCTGATTCTAAAAGCCAACTGCAAAATTGTCACCAACTGACTTACCTTGCTTCACTGCTTTGCGGAAATTCTCAAACAACATTGCCAGCCTCGCACAGTTATACATTACAAATGGTCCTCCTTGGTTGTCAATGGTGGCATCGGGTTGCATTTTAATGTCAAGTAAATCCACCTTAGCCTGAAGTTAAGAAATTAAACGTTTTAAACAAAGTTGCTTGAACATTATTTTCTTTTCTGGGATGAGGAGTTATCATTATTCACATTATGGAGCATAAAACCTAACCAGCCTGCAGCAATGTCAGCAACAGGCATGTTAGATTTAAGGCTTAAAATTCTCCACTCATGATTGTCCTATGCAAACAGTGATTAAATCTTAACCAGATTTATCCTATGGTAATAGAGAAGATGTCTAACAAACAAAAACACTTCATTATGTTATTTTTCCCACATTCACTTATAGGATAGCAACTTTTAATGGTTAACTTTTAATAAGTGGAATTGGTCACCATTTTTCATTAGAAATGGCTACTTTTTCATTATTTGTAGGCTAATGGTAATAGTAAAATTGGTTATTTTCATCCAATATTCAATAAAATAAAGATTAAACATTATTGTTGTTTGAAATTTATAAAATCTTTTTCTTAAAATAGGTTTTCAGGAAATTAGATTTCTCTAGTCCACTAATTGTTATAGCTCTTTTTATTAGTGACTGACATTTCCTTTTCAACCTTTTATTTATGGTAGCATGGAAAGTTAACATCCTGATTATATTATTTTCTCGTTTAGTTATATATGCTATTCATTTTAGTTGTTGCTGCTATTGGAAGTCTTCAAGTGATGTGGTCTTTGTTATTAGGTAAAACACTGTGATGTAGCACTGGTCTTAAAAGATTCATTCACTTGAAGTCATTTGAGAAAATGGTTGTATATAGATGACAATTTACACATTTCTGAACAAGCTACATGCCATACATGGTATTCATATGAGAGTCTTGATCTGAGGAGGCTATTTAAAAATATGACACTTATTTTCAGGTTAAAATTTTGGTTTTGTAACATCTTACAGTGTTGGAGAAAAGTACCTTTAATAGAACCCCTCCATTGTTCAACAACCTTATCTTTTATACTGATTTTTTTTATAACTGATCCATACACTGAATTATTTGAAATGTTTATAATTTATTAATTCCACGTTCTGAATATTTATGATGAATGTGCCATTACTAGTTTCATTCCAATTTCTGTTTTGGAAATCTTCATAAAGTCCTACTTCTTGGAACACATATTGCGATTAATTCTTCAGGCCAATCATACTGTGATTTCCATTTTCAAATCAATTTAAAATTGTGTAGAAAGCAATCAGTATGAAAGAACAGTTAATATGAAAAGAAACTTTAACTACTAGACAAATACTATCATGAATTTCGGGTTTCTGACGATATCATCCGCCCTACTGCAAAAACAGCCCAATATGAAAACAAGTTGCGTTGAATACCTTAGACTTGATTTACTACAGGTATTTAGATTTAAATTCAAAAACTACAAGAAATATTTTACCAGAAGCCACAATAAATCCATGAGAAGTCAGTTATGTGCCATGCATGATACATGCTTAGGCGATCATGTATCTTTCAATACATGACTGACAAGGCAGATTTTTTCATGCAGTAGGTAACCATTTCTTTCTGCAGTAGACCAGTTGCCATCCAAGGCTATAGAACCCGGTCAGTCCTGCTATTTACCCATAGCTGGCGGGAAAAGAAAAGGATTCATATCTTTCCCACGAGAAGGTATTCATTAAAAATTCAGCCGCTCTTCAGTTTGAATGTGAAAATATTATTTTTCATAGCAGTTAGTGAAGGAGTAGAACACTCACTCTCTTTTGACAGTCAATGCCAAGACATCTTGGAAAAAGAAGATCAAAATACATTTTGATTATATTGGTAAATAGTAACTGTACTTGTGTACAATGTCCCTCTTCTAATGTCTTAAACACTTTTCTCATTCAATGTTTTGATTAATCCTATTTTTTTTTTTTTGCATGTTGCCAGAACTCTTTGTCATATTTTTTAATTTCTATTCATTTGTTCATTTCAGTTTCATGACTGCTAGATTAATAGTCAACAAATAAATAAATAAAATGCTGTCAAGCCGTTCTTTGTGTGGGTTGTGTAAAGGATAGCGGCTCAGAATAAGAAATCAGAGAGCTGAGTTTGAAATTCCAGTCAGCTTGATCACATTCATTTATGTGCAATTACTCTTGAGAAATGTACGAATTCATCTCTTTTCTCCCCCAGATATGGGTTAAATAGTATGACTTGTATCTGAAAAAATGAATTATTCTTACAATCTAAAATATATATTTCAACTTTAGATAACGCAGAAATCTTACCATAAAATACAAATCAATCAATTCAGTGTTAATGAAATTGGTCAATTGTGAAGTAATGAAAACCTCTTGCAGTGGAGTAACCCTGTCAGCAATCTAAATAGCAGATCTTTCAGGGATGTCCTCTTTAATAATATTAAGAAATGGCCCTGCATCAAGAAGTAGCTACAAATAATGAATCTTACAGCTAAAAAGTATTTGTGGCTAGCAGATAATGAAAAAGTACAAAATGTTGAGATTAAGTTTTCTGTTTAGTCTGATATATCAAAAGTGCAACAAATTATTATTCTTAACTGATATCTCGTAAAATAAGCAACGTAAAGTTCTTACCACATTTTTGCAAACTGTACGAAGAAGTTCAAACTTGACACAGGCATTCAAGAGTCCTCTCATCATGCTTTCCCATTCAGCACCTGAAATAATAAATCAAACATGTGATTTTGATTTGTTTTATCTGACCAAACATCACTTCTTAGGCTGATAACTTTTCAACACCCTTTCCTAGAGATGACAACAAATGCAGATGGTGTAAAAGTTAGTAGTAGAAATAATGGAGTTGGCAACCTGATTTCCCTTTCCATTAATGACTATGAGAAAATTTTGAGTTAAATAGCAGGGCAGACTGGGCTCTCTAGCACTGGTAGGTAGCCAGTCTACAAGAAGAACAACTTTAAATTTGAACACCTTGATGTCATCTTTGATTGAGTGGGTCGTTTAACAGCATGTGAACTCCTTATGGGTCATTTAATGCAGGAATTTAATTTACTTGGGAGCTTTGAAGTAATAAAAATATGATGTTATTCTGCTTTCACAATTGAATACATGGTAGATGATACTCAATTTTTATGCATATACATCTTTGTATAGACATAATTACAAGAGACAGTGATATGTGTATTTTATGTTGTAGTTATATTTCAGATTACAGTTTGATTTCTTTAAGAAATTGTAGGATATTATATGGATTAATGTCATGAAAAAGTTCTTTCATCTTGGTAATATTTTAAGCAGATTTGGGTGAAGTTTCTACAATTTGTTAGCATGTGTTTTATTGTGTATAGTTCTTAGCATGTCATACAGATTAGAGGTGGCTCTTGTTTTAGAATATAAGAATGTGTTATTATGGTGTGTCTGATATGATGTCTGGACATTATTACTTCATCTTTCCCTATTTTTAGTTTTTGATGCCATTCTTCTATGGTAGGTTTTGATGTTGTATAATTTGTTGTTTGGGCTGCCAGTCCATAATTTCTACCTTTGATAAAGGTGTTAATGATTGATATACAAGTCTTACTAATTAACCCATAGTTGGGGAGAAGAGGTGGATTCATATCTTTCCCAAGGGTATTTACATGTAAATGCATATAACGAATTTGACTGGAATTTGAATTAGGCTCTCTGATTAACAATTCTGAACCATTAACCATTACACCACCTGCACACCCAAGTTTACAGCACCTGGTATTTCCAAGTGGTCACCCATCTATGTACTGAGGGTTGATGTTGCTTAAACTTTGGTCATCATACAGGAACCATAGTTTCAACGTAATCTAGCTGAAAGCTTTGTCATGTCCTGGTAACTCCCATAGCCAAGATGATGCCAATAGAAACCAGTTCCCAAAATCTGTGGCTGATGGGAACTGAATAAAGCTCTGAAGAGTTTGGCAAGCTGGAAGTTGATTTGTTGAAAATAATCAAACACACAAAAAGAAGCACTGCTCTATAACAATTAGACAAGTGGACGGGAAAAAACATATAGGTATAATACCAGCTACTGAGTGATGATCAGCACCCCAGATTCACAAGACATTGTTAGTGAGTTTGAGTCTTATTTATAGTGCTCTATAAATGTAAATTAAATTTAGCTTCTTTTTTTTTTCTAATGATCTCATTCCCAAACAAAGTAATAAAGCCACTAAGACACAAGGAGTTATTGAGTGTGAGCAAACATAAGAAAAAAAAAACCACTATTAAGGAGAGATAACAAAGAACTGTAATTATTTTTTAACATAGAAATGATATATACATATAAGTGAGCACTATTGAGAGACAGCCTAATTGTACAAACAACAGCCGCCTAAGCTAAAAAGCAAAGCTCTTTGTTAAAATGAATACGAGCTGACTGGCCTTTGTTAACATTCATAAAAACAATATGCTAGAATTAGCAGTTTCTCTCTGCTGAGTGCTGATGGCTTAGGGGTAAAAACTCCAACTGACACCAACCCAGTCGGGTTTCAATCCTGGCTTGAGGCTTTCAGACGTCTAGTTGCACTGAGGAGCTGTGATACAGCAAAACAGTACTGTCTGCGAATGATATTTTATATATATATATATATATATATATATATATATATATATATATATATATATATATATACATATATATATATATATATATATATATATATTTCCTCCAAGCAAGACAATAAAGCCAGTATAATGCCAGGGGGTTATGGAGTGTTAGAGAATATGAGAAGAACTATTAATAAGGAGAGAGAATAATGATCTCACAGACTTAAAAGCCATGGCCTTTTCTCACTGAAACTGCACATCTGTGACTTTATTTAATACAGTTATCTGGAATAGTAAATTCAATTGATGAAATAAGTTTTGAGAAATATTTCACTAAAAGCCAGTAGAAATCCACAAATAAAAATTCAAACTTTCAAATTTTCATTGTGGGTAGACAGAAGGTAACAATTGACAATGTATTTAAATTTTTGAAGATCAAAGTTGACTTGAAATCAAGGAGCTGAGAGTGAGACTTCTACAAGCAAGAAGTGTAAAAGAAGAAACTGTTTGCACAGATCTTATGGTTACATCTCTTGCCATTTCAAGAGTAAAATGATGAGGAGACCTTGCCATCAATTTAGCACTGTGTTTAAATTTATAAAGTCTAGTCGATTAACTTTTTACCTTGTCCCAGCAGACCATATTTCATCTTTGCAGCCTCCTCCATTTGTTCTTGTCGTTTTCTAGAACGTAAATTAAAAATAGAAAGAAAAGCAGAGAAAAAAATATAAGAATTCTAAAATGAATAAAAGAAAAATTGAAAATATTTTTTTTATTCTATTTCATATATATATATATATATATATATATATATATATATATATATATATATATTTATTTATGTATCTATATGTTAGTTCGTTTATATATGTATTTGGTTGAAAGTTGTTGTATTTTTATGTATGCATGTATATATGGGTGGTTGTTATTGTAGGTAGATATATTTATGTATATATATGTTTATTTGTAGATATGTATGTATGTGTGTATATATATATTTATGTATGTTTGTGTATGTATATATATATGTGTGTGTGTTGGAACCTATTATGTATGAGTTTGTGTATGTGTAGGTATGGAAACTTTGGTATATCATGACTGTTTTTTTATATATCTAAGTATGTGTGCATAAAAGTCTATGTATATATGTGTGTGTATTTA